TGGAAGTAGTGAGGGACACTTTGTGGACCTCAGCATTGGGTCCTGCCAAGCACACTTACCCGAGCCAGGTACGTGGTGTGGCCAGCCTCGTCATCCGCCAAGTATCCTGAGTGGCGGCGGCAGCTGGTCATGATGTGGGTGACTAGTCCTGCTACCCGCCTCCTCTCTCTTCAGTTCTGCAGTGCAGCCGTGGATTCCTCTCTGTGCTGGGGGGGGGGGGGAGATGGCGTAAGGGTCTCCCCCAGGCCCTCATGGGTTCAAGTCTCCGTCCGTCTGTTGGACACTGCGTCAGTGGCCCGGGGGTACCCCATGTCCCTCACGTGTCTCGCTCTTCCTCTGCTCAGAGACCCTTGTATACCGTCTGCGTCCAGTCCTCGGGGGTGGGGTCCCCGAGAACGTCCGCATCCTGTCTCTGACCATCTCCGATCCTCTCTCCTTCCAGACCCCTGGCGTCCATCCCTAGCCCAGAGTCCACCCGCTCACCAGAGTCCAAGCGTCGCTGGAGGGTGGCGACACTGTGCTCTGGGGTCGCCCCAAGTCGGCCCGCTTGCTCATTTGCATGCCGCGTTCTGATTGGCTTGCAACAGGCCGCTCGTTCTTTAGCTCCCCCGACACAAAGGTTGGGGGCGGGGACCACAATCGGCTCTTCCCGGGTTTCGTCCGGCTCAGTCCCTCACACATTCTCAGTGGGAGGCGGGGTTGGGGAATACAGCCGACTCGTGTTCCACACCCCATCCGCTAGGAGGAGCCCGGAGGCTGAGGCTCTGATCCTCGCTCCACATCTGCCTTCCTGAAGGGAGCCTAAGGGACAAAGCCAGGGCCGCCTCTAATGACACAAGCACCTTCCTGGGTTCCTCTCTGGTCACTGCGTTGTCCCGGGCCTCCTGCTCTCTGCTCATTTCCAAAATCCTCCCCTCGCCCAGTATGGACAACCCCAGGGTATGTCTTGAGCCCTCTCCCCTCTGCAGTCTTCCTGTGTACAGTGGAAAGAGTCCGTGCTCTAAGTTACAGACCTAGCTCCAATTCCTAGCTCTGCTGTTCTCTGCCTGTTTGACTCAATCTCTCTGATCTGCTGCTTCTCCTCTGTAAATAGAGTTGAGCGTCCTTCCACATGGGAGTATGGAGATAAAATCTTCATACAACACACCGGACATCCTATAAGAGCCCCATATATCTTTACCTCCTCGCCTTTCTTTCCCCCTCTTCCTGGTAAACTCCTCATGCAGTCCCCGTGCCAGGTGTCAACTCTTTGGAGAAGACTTCACAGAAGCCTCACCATCCCCAACAGTGACCGCAAACCCCATCCCAGATTCTGCCACACTGTGTTGTTACTTGTCTACCCGATGGTGCTCCTTGCAGGTAGAAACTGAGGCGCTCGCCCCTGATCGCTAATATTTCTAGTACCGCTAGTAGTCGTAGAATAGGTGCTCAATACATGTCAATTTCCTCTTTCCAACCTTCTGACACTTAGGGTCTCTGGCCTTTCCAGGATCAGCTTCCCAGTGGAGAAAGACAGTTGGTTGAGGTCTGACCTCATGTGTGAACAAAACAGTGATTTCATAATCACGTTTGAACACAATGGTCCTTATGTCAAGAGCTTGGTAAAGGGCTCTTTGAGGCCTTGGATTCTTACACTGTCCCCACAGAAGTAGGTATTGTTTGTTATTCTTAAGCTCTGCCCTGTCCTCCCTGCCCCTGACCAAGGGGGCAGCCAGGGCCTAGAGGACTGAAGCAGACCAAGATGCGGGCCCAGAGTTTCAGAGGCCAGTCCCAGTTCCACTACTCCTAGGAGAGCCACTTTAGGCAAGACACTTCTGTTACTTGAGCCTCAGTTTCTTCATCTGTAAAACGGCTTGGTAAACAGGAATGACATTACCAATGTCATAGGCTGGTCACAAATACTGCACTTCCAATGGGAAAATCCACATCATAATGAAAACCCTGGCTATCAACCATGTGACTATTTGTATAGTCCTGTGTAGGGAAAGCTTCTCTGGACCACAGAGAAAAAAATGAGGTGAGCTCAGGAGAAGGAAGCAGGGGCTAATGCTTTCTCAAATGAAGCCATTGGTATTACATATTTTCTTTCATTTTTTTATTGTTCAGAGTTTTTACAAATCATAAAAAAGCCTCCTCTTAGAAAAATCAGCAAAAGACAAATGGGCAATTTGAAGAAAGAAGAAATAAATATAAAGAGCTAATAAAAACATGAAAAAGTTCATAGTCATTATAAAAAAAGAAACATTACAAGAATGAGATAACATTGATTTGATCATTCCTCAAAAAAACACAAAAAGCTTTGGGGTGGGGGAAAAGAGGAATTGGGTGTGTCTATTTGCTTAGCGAAAATACTGGAAAAACACTACCCAAAAAGCTAACAGTGGTGATCTCTTGTTTGGGTAAGAGATTTTTTTCTTTTCTGTATTTTTCATATTAAGTATCATTTTTGCAGTCACCGAAAGTTTCGCGTTGCAGTAAATCAAATCGTGGTCTGGTTAAGGGTGGAGCACACTGGGTGGAGATAAGGGGTCGTTGCAGGGCCACGGCCGGACCGCTAGATGGCGAGAACAAAGGCGGGGGTGCAGGCGCAACGGGGTGTGTGCGTCGGGGCGGGGCCTTGGACTGCGTTTAGGGGCCGGGCTTGGACTGTCAGTCCACTCCCTTCGGTCCCCAGCACCCGGCGGAGGCAGAGATGGCCTGGCCGCGCGTACGACTGGTGATCACCGCGGACGACTTTGGTTATTGCCCAAGGCGGGATGAGGGCATCGTAGAGGCCTTCCTGGCTGGGGCTGTGACCAGCGTGTCCCTGCTGGTCAACGGCGCGGCGGCGGAGAGCGCGGCGGAGCTAGCCCGCAGGTGAGGCGTGACCCCTTACAGGGTCAGAGCGGGCTTGGGGCGCCGTCGCTCCGCGGCCGCCAGTGCTCCCGCTCGCGTTCGGCCCGCAGGCACCAAATCCCCACGGGCCTCCACGCCAACCTGTCCGAGGGCCGCCCCGTGTGTTCGGCCCGCCACGGCGCCTCATCGCTGCTCAGCCCCGAAGGCTTCTTCCTCGGCAAGATGGGATTCCGGGAGGCGGTGGCGGCCGGAGATGTGGCCTTGTCCCAGGTGCGGAAGTGCGGCTGCAGGAGGATACCCCCTTACCAAGGCTCCGCCCCGAGGGTACCATGACGCCATCAGGGGCAGGAGCAGGCGCTGGATGCTTCCTTGGTTCCAGCACTGGAGCAATCACACGGAGGCACCGGGAGGGATCCTCCTCCGTAGATGCTCCCGGACGTTCAAGGCGCATTTTGTCCTCTCCTTTCAGGTGCGGGAAGAGCTGGAGGCCCAGCTGAGCCGCTTCCGGGAGTTACTGGGCAGGAACCCCACTCACGTGGACGGGCACCAGCACGTGCACGTTCTCCCAGGTGCATTGTTTGGTGGTCCCAGGCAGGGGGCGGTATGCCTAGGTGGGGGGACATGCTCCTTCCTGACTCCGCCCCGCCTGCAGGCGTGTGCCAAGTGTTCGCTGAGGTGCTGCAGGCCCACGGGGTGCACTTCACAAGGCTGCCGCTGGAGCACGGAGTGGGTGGCTGCACGTGGCTGGAGGCCCCGGCGCGCGCCTTCGCCTGTTCCGTGGAGCGCGATGCCCGGGCGGCTGTGGGCCCTTTCTCCAGCAGAGGCCTAAGGTGAGGCCCCTCCCCACCCGCCGCCGCCCCCTTCCGCCTGCCCTGCCCAGTTCCCAGTGGGTGCAGCTGGCTATTCACCTGGCCAGCTGAGCCCCGTTTCTCAACCTCGGAGTCAGGTTTCGCCCAGCGGCACCTCCACCCCAGATCCGTCCAGTCTCCCTGCCTAGTCGTGCCCGTCGCTGTTCTGCCGGTTCCTGCCTCTGATGCCCGGGCATCCACAGGTGGACCGATGCCTTCGTGGGCCTGAGTACCTGCGGCCGGCACATGTCTGCTCAGCGCGTGTCAGGGGCATTGGCTCGGGTCCTGGAAGGTACACCCACGGGCCACTCCTTGACAGCTGAGCTGATGGCCCACCCAGGCTACCCCAGTGTGCCTCCAGATGGGGGCTGTGGTGAAGGCCCTGACGCCTTTTCCTGCTCTTGGGAGCGGCTGCATGAACTACGTGTCCTCACAGCGCCCACCTTACGCGCCCGGCTTGCCCAGGATGGGGTGCAGCTCTGTGCCCTCCATGACCTAGACTCTAAGAGATCAGGGGAGGGGTTCCCTGGGGAAGCCACTCTGGAAACCTTCCTGGAACCCTCCCAATTGTGACCCTGATAGCCAAGCACAAATGCCTTAGTGCTCAGGAAGGGGACAAGGGTTGAGCTTTGGCACAGTCCAGGACCAGGCCCTCGAATGAGCAGAACAATGTCACCTCTATGTCCATGTACTCATGACTCAGAGTGGCAGCCAGAGCTTCAGCAAGCCCTCTTGGCTACTGGCAGGTTAGCCTGTGACATCTGGGCCTGGGGCCTGCCAAGCATTTGGTGCCCTTCACATGTCCATGTAAGCAACTTCCTTGTTTAGGCATAGTAGGGAGAGATCGCTGTATTAATAAAATAACATGTGTCTTATAAACTTGGGTGAATTATAACTGTGTCCAGAAAAACTTCACAGACACACAAATGGACAAAAGCAACTCCTTCGGGGCCAAAACCAGGTCAGTATTCCAGAAAAGACATGTAAAACAAGTTCCACAGTCTAGTTTTGTTCTTTTGGTGGCGGTGGTGGGGGGGACTTGGGGGAAAAGAATGTCTCACCAGGCTTCTTTTGGCTCCGGAGGTATATTATAATCTCAATTTTTATTTAAAAAGAAGTCAGCTTATTTAAGTAAGCAGCCCTTTGCCATCCTAGAGGACAGATCTGAGGAGGTCCTGCAAGCTCAGAGGAGTGAATTTAAATTTTTCCGGGAGGGAAGTCTGTGGAAAAGGGATCCTGGATTCTCAAATGGACCTGGTGCTGTGTGGATGCCCTGTGACTGGAGTCCATGTGGCTTGGATGAAGAGACTGAGAGAGCAGATGGGGAAGGGGGCAGGGAGTTCTCAGAAGCACAGGAGTCCTGCCACACTCTGGAAGTTGGAAAAGCAGATGGACAATCACATGGTCCTTCTTGTCTCATGTAAGTGTCTATGCACAGGCACTAAATGTCCCCATTTTACAGACCTAGAGGTGGGAACGGCAGAGCAGGGCTTTGAAGCTACCTGTTCATGTATTTGCCATGCACTGTGTCAGGCATGGAATCAGGTGACAACAGAGCTTTCTCCTAGCCTATGCAGCTGTGAGGGACGTGCAGCTTTCTGAAATGGTCAGGGTGGGGTGGGGGTCTCATTCCTCCCTGCCCCACCCACCCATGACCCCATCCTTGACGGTAGCTTCAGTCCCCTTTTCTGGCTCCATCTTCTATCCTAACCTTCTCTTGACCTTGACTCTTCCAGGCACAGGCCCTTTCCTCCTTTCATACATGTCTGTGAACTGGAATCACTGTTTGATCCCTCCCGTTGCCTCGCCCTCACCTCCTTGCCTCAGTCCACTGGATCTGGCCACACTCCTGCAGGCTTCTGGCTGGAGCTCGTAGGGGTGGTCTGAAGGCAGCCAGTTGCCACAGGGGCACCTCCCTTGAGCTGGGTTCTTCTGTTCTGACGAGGAGGCAGCTGGTTATGTGTCTTTGAGGTTCAGGATAGAAGTGTAGGTGGACAGGAGAGAGATTTTAGGGTCTGCACAGATGCTAGATGAAACTGGGGGAGTGGCTGTCACCCAGGGAGGGAACGGGATGAGAAGAGTCGAGGGAACAGACCAGCCCTAGGGTCCATGAACTCATTTAATAGTGGAGAGAAGAGGGTGGGCATGGCCAGCCTGAGTGGATAATTAGTAGGAGAGCAAGGTCCAGCTCACAAGTGGAGGGAGGGTGATAAGGCAGAGGGCCACAGGCAGCACATTGTGGGGCTGGTCACTGGTGCCCTAACCCACCAAGGAGATGGGGATATTTCTTATGCCAAACCTGCTGTTTGCTGGGTGACTTAGGCAAGGGGTTTACTGTTAACCACCCATTCATCAGTCACATATGGGGCATCTGCTCTGTGCCAGGCCAGGGCTGGGTGCTGGGACACAGCCCAGCCTGCAAGGAGCTCAGTCTGCTACACAGGACAGATGGTGTGATCCAGGCTGCAGTGGGGTGGGGAAAAGGAACGCACAGCACAGTGTGGGGCCAAAGGGGGTTCCTAACCCAGCCGGGATGTGTCAGGGGATGCTCTCCAGAGTAAGTGACTTCTGTCCCTGGGCATCGCTCTGATCTTCTGAGGCCTGCACAGTGCCCCCAGGAGCACCCAGTCTGCAAACAAAACCACTTTCAATCACACAAGCTTAGCCATTTACCAAGTACTGCCTAGGACAAGCATATGGTGAAGTTTCAACTTCAGCTCTGCTCCGCAGGTTGGCACCAGTGCCCCATGTTTCATGAGGGAAGCAAGGAGAAGCACGCACAGAAGGGGCAGGAAGAACTCAGACCATCTCTGGCTTTGCCTGCCACTGGGTCAGGTGGTTGCCCAGCAGGGCGGGGCATGGTAGTGCTGCCAAGTGAAGAAAGTGAGAGCAGGGCTGAGGCCACCAGCCTATGGACTTGGCCCTGAGGAAGTTGAGGCCGTTGAGAGAGGAACCTCAGGGGGCAAGAGGGTGACAGAAGCCAGGTTGCAGTGGGCACAGGAGTGATAAAATAGGTGCATATTTCGAGGTGAACAATCAATACAGGAGGAAGGCAAGAAAATGGTGGCTCCAGAGTTCAGGAAGAGGGACTTGCAGGACTCTGGCTTTGGGAAGGGGGAAAACTGTAGCTGGGCTCAAAGGGACCAGTAGTGGAATGCAACAGGGGCCGGATTGTGTAAAAATACAAGCCAGGTGCCCTCAGCTGTCATTGAGCCTCAGTTTCCTCCTCTAAAAACAAGGATAATAGTGCCCGTGGGGTTGTCCTGAGCTTCACACAGGATAAAGTGATGGGACGTGACTGAGTACCGGGCTAATGATCAAAGGGCCTGCTCCTTGCTTCCTGGTAAAATGACACTCCAGGAAGTTTCCCTCCCAGAAACCTGCAGATCTGGCGGACTGGGCAGGCCTGGTCTCAGCTGGTGTCAAGATACAGGCAGGAACTTAGCTGACTGAAAAATGAAGTGTCACGGCCCCTGGGCAGAGTCAGGACCTTAAGCAGTCCACTGTCCTGGGGACTCAGAGGCAGGTTTATGGCTGGAACCCTTCAAGGAAATGGCCTACCCCCGCCAGCAGGCACACCCTTATTAGTTCCCTGACCTTGATTAAGATTGCCAGTTTGTTCCTCTGCTAAATGTGGATTATCACTCTTTGGGGGCTGACAGGACTTACGTGATGCATATGAGTCAGACAATTTAAGTTCGTGAACTTGTCCTAAAAAAGTGCTACGTACTTCATTGCTGAATATCACTATGGTCACTTTCAAAGTACTCCCCTTGGGAAGCTATGCACCAACGCCAGCACCTAGTCCATCCTCCAAAGCAATTTCGGAACTTTTTCTAGAATGGCCATCAGAGCTGTCGTTGTATTACCCTTGATGTACTGAATGTCATCAAAATGTCTGCCTTTCAATATTTCCTTTATCTTCAGGTAAAGAATGAAGTCATTGAGGACCAGATTAGGTGAATAGGGAGGGTGTTCCAATACCGTTGTTTCCTGGCTAAAAACTCCGTCACAGACAGTGCTGTGTGAGCTGGTGCATCGTTGTGATGCAAGAGCCATGAATTTGCAAAGAGTTCAGGTCATCTAACTTTTTTTTTGCAGCCTTTTCAGCACTTCCAAATAGTCAACTTAGTTAACTATTGGACTGTCAGAAAAGTCGACGCATTTTTGCAACGAAAAATATAGAAAAAATACGTCATGACTTTTCCAACAACCCAATATTTGTCCAGTTGGTACAAATTCATAATGTATAATCCCTTTGATATCAAAAAGGCTAGCAACATTGTTGCAATAAGTTCACCAATTTAATTGTCAGACCTTGTATACCTAGAGGAGCTGTCCCCAACCCAGACACCCAAGGGGTCCCTCTGCAGGCCCCAATAATCTGGACTCTTCAGCCTTTTCTGCTTCCCTAAGGGAATGCCGAAACATCTGTGTGCCTCTTTAGGAGACTAAGCATCAGAAGCTGCAGAAGACCAGGGGCCCGAGGACCTGCACTCCCATCCACCTCTCACCCCCTGAGAGCACAGGCCCCTGGCACTACCCACCACCAGTAAGGAAGAAACCCACACGACCAAACCAGTGTCGGAGAGCAATTTTATTAAGGGCAGCAGAACGGGATCGCAGCATCTTAGAAAGCCTATTCTCCGCCATGTGGGGCAGGGGCAGGAAGGGGAGGACCAGGCGCACTTTGGATTGGGCAGGTGTGAATTCCTGAGTGGGCTTGGGTTAGTGGTGGCAGCCCAACAGCTCTCCCCTTCCTCAGAGGACCCAGCTGTTTGGTTGTGGAGCTGCCAGGGCTACCTGCCAGCGTGCTCAAAGCCGGCTCTGAGGGCTCGGCGACCACCCAGAAATCATTGGCTGCTGCCCCGCTTATTAAGTTGCCCAGGACCAAGGGAGGGACCACCCCTACCCTCATTCTTTGAGGGCCAGGCCTCTCCTGACTAGGGCAAACCATGGAGTGCAATGCCAGGGCTGAGAGTCCAGAGGGGCTGGCAGCTTTGACAAAGGTATCCCTCCTTGGTGAGCAGAGAAGTGAGGTGTGACAGGCAGGTAGAGCTACGCTGGTAGAAACACGAAGCAGTGGGACGGTTTCCAAGAATGGCAATAATTCTGGATTCAGAAGCAACGCGAACAGATGGGTGGCTTATTTGAATAGCTTTTGACAGAATTTGGCATTTTATTACAAATCTATGAGTGAAATAAGGTTCATCATCACTTTTCTGCTAATGAAGAGACAGATGCGGGAAGGCTGACCCGGTGCTCTCGCCATCCTGGGCACACGGGAGCTTCCAGAACCTGCCCCTTGAATATCTAGCACTAAAGAAGCCGTTTGTTGACACACCGCAGGGACCACGTGCCTGGACAACTAAACGTTATGCTGCCTAACCTACCCATCACTCCCACTTCTGCATAGGTAAAACCAAGCTGTCTCACAGGTCATAAGCCCTGGAAAGATCTCAAGTTTTAGAACTAAAAGAAAAACAAAGCAAAGTTTCTTTAAGTCATTTTTCCACAGGATCTAGTCCACCCAAGAGCCAAGAGGGAAGCAGAGTTAGCGACGCATGGCGTTTGCACCAACGGCTTCCTTTGGGTATCAGTGACATGTACTCTCTATTTCAGAGACAGTCCCACTTGCTTTGAAAAAGACATTAACATCCAATCCTTACAAGTTCATCTGATGATAAATTCTAAGGTCAATTTTTATTTCTACAAAAAAAGGCAGTCAAAACAAATGTTTTTGTTTTTGTACATAAAACACATGTAAAGGATATTACTGAGTGAGCTTCAAGTGGAGCTTGACTCTGCAAAGGCTGTGAGTCCAGAGGGAGAGGGAAGGCCATCTTGTTCCTGGGCTGGCCTGGCTGGCTGCTCCAAAGGAAGGGGTCAGCAGGGCACCGGTGACCCCAGACTGGTGCTGGCTATAGCCGAGTCCTGCCAATTCCAACCCCGCAAAGGGTCAAACCGTGTTGAGGGAGGGCCGCGGTGGGGCTGCTGCACTGAGGAGTTGGAGAGCGAGCTCCGTGGCACATTCGGATGGAGCTTGGTGACCGGTGAGCGTGGAATTTCAAATGGACGTTCTGGCTTTAGTGTTGTCTGCAGTGACTAGCACATCTTCTAAAATGGCTGCAGGGAGGAATGCCAACCTTTGACCTCAGGAGCCTTTGTGGTGAGAAATTCCTCACACTAGTGCACTGTGTCCTCTGGCTGGCAGGCCCTCTCCTGGAGTGGCCACAGGCCTGATATTGCAGGGTTTCCCCAAACAGGCCTGGCCAGGCTGGAGTTGAATCACACACACAGACATCAGGGTTGCCATTTAATCAATATTAATGTGGTAACATTGGCCAGATTTTTACATAACAGCTGGGCCTCCCTTTGCACAGCCTTTTCTTTGTGAGGGGTGGGGTGGGGTGGGGAGGGGTTCGCTTGTTTTTAAATTTTTTTTAAAGGATGTTATAAATCGGAGCCAAGAGAATCAACTCCCACACCAGGCAGTGCAACATGGGAGAAGAGAAGCCACCAGACAGGACAGAGCTGTCTCTTCTCCTTTGTGGAGACGGGGCCTGGGTCTGGGGATGTGAATGAGTGAAAAATAAACTGAATGCAAGAAAGTGGGAGTTGCAAGGGGCAGGGGAAGAAAGGGAACCACAACCTTTTTTTTTTTAAACCTTAAGGTCTAAATGTAAATTGAAAAATTTGGATAAATTTGGACAAGAAAAGAAACACCATTTTTTAAAAAGGAGATTGAAGCAGTGATTTTAAAACAAAGAAAGCAGAACTAGAACATCTTAAATTTTTAATCCTTTTATAGGTTACCTAGACCACTTTTGATTAAGAAAACTGTAGAAAGTTAGTAACTGCCACAAGCAAACGCCAGGCGGTGGCACGTGTCAATTTCCACAGAGTCCTGCTTTGCGGGATGTCTGCACTGCTCTGGGTCTCTGCTCACAGTCGATGGAATCAATCGTGGCAGATTTTAGTCCACAGGTCGCTTTTCCCCATATTTCTTTGTAAATTCTTCAGCATTCTTACAGAATTTTTTACGGTCCTTAGAGTATTCTTCAGCTAGGTCAGCCCGAAGGGGGTGCTCGGGCTGGGGGTCGTTCACCAGTGCTATGAGGGACTGGATTACTGTCAAGAAAAGGAGAAGGCATCGCTGGTTAGAACAGTCTCAGCAAGGGCCTGGGCAAGATACACAACTCTGACTCCAACACTGATTTACATCTGTGCACTTCTAAGACAAAGCGGCCTCCAATTTATCCAAAATTCTAACCACCAGCACTCAACTCCTTTCCTCTGTAATTAAGAGAAAGTGACGGACAACAAATAGCCAATACTACAATGGATCAGTTCAGAGTGATGCCGCCGCCTCCGCCTCCGCCGCCTCCTCCTCCTCCGGGAACCTTCCTGAACTGGCACCCTGGGAATACCCCAGCCCACAATCACTCCCATCTCCCGAACTCTGGAGACCTCAGGCTGGTGTGCACTCGCTCACGCTATCCCGTCCTCTCCCTCTCCCTCTCCCTCTCCCTCAGTTTCTCTGGGGCAAGGGATGGGTGATGTGTTCCAGGACTGCACTCAGTTCAGAGTAGTTTCAGTGAGTGAGTTCAAGAATGAAGGGTGCATGGCAGGCCTGCACCATGTAAATGCACAATGAGCCAATGTGGAAGACCCTTGGGAGCTGCTGAACCAGCTGAGAAAGGTTCATTTGACCACCGTGTCTTACCACTGGGAGGTTGATAACCCCCAGCAGTGTCACACCGTACATTCCAGAGGCAGAAGTCACATGGGTGGCTCAGGGTGGGTCCCACAGTGCTCACCCAGAGGGCAATAAGTTCTAGATGTGCTGGAAGGCTAGCCTTGAACGGAAGGACCATGAAGGAACGGAGGGGAAGGGAGGGAGGTTGAGGGGGGAGTATGGAATATGAAGGTCCAGGAGCCCCAGCCTCCTCAGAGGGTACACACAGCCACCACACCCTCTCACACACGTCTCTTCACCCTCTGGCCAACATCAGGGCCAGTACCTTCAGAGTGCTTCATTCCTTCCCACTGCCACATTCTTAGCAAAAAGGCATCTCTCCCCTGGCTTGCCGAAGTTATGGATTCCTTATTGGAGGCCCATGTTTTTCACCCCAGTATTACAAGGAATGAATTAAAACGCTGGTGCTGGCTGAGTCATACACAAAGGCATAACCAGTCAATAGCACCATGCTGGGTGAGGGGGACAGCACAAAGTACCCCGGCCAGGCATCCAAACACCACCTGCCCCCACCTCTGCTATTTAATCCTACTAGGTGAGACGGGGGCAATCAAGGGTTCCTGTGACCATGGTGGGCACAGATGAGGCAGTGGGGTAAAGCAAGTAGGGGTGCCTCTGCAGGGCTGATGGGGCCAAGGCTGAGTAAGGAGGAGGGGTCTAGGCAAGGAGGGTAAACTGTGAAGAGCAAGCAGGGGTCAAAGGCTCTAATCTAATCTCCACATCGCACCCAGGGGCAGACATTATCACCTCCCTTTCCACACCACCTGTAGTATCTCTAAGAAGAAGCAGACCCCGGAAGTATATTTTTGTCCCTTTATTTCAAGATTTATCCTTTCTATATTTGATTATTGCGTAGCTGAGCAGAAATGATGATAAAGCTATTTTGCTTATTCCTATTTCCCCAACTTTAACCATTGGTATTCCACTGTTTGCCATATATCCATCCACATAAAGCCCACCCAAAGGAGAACTTACTTAATATACTCATACTTCTCTAAATCTCCTCACTTTTTAATATAAGTTTTTAAATGAAAGTAAATGTTAGTACCTCAATTGGAAAATCACTTTCACTTGCCATAAACAGAAGGCATGCATCACAAAAGGAAAAGGTATGGCTCGTTGGAAGTCTCAGACAAACATTAAAACCTGCACCTAAGGCTCCCTCCCTCCTGTCCAGCCAGGGGAAGCGACCACACTGGGACAAACACTCTTCCAAATGGCACCTTCACAACTTCTCTAAGACACTGCCTTCAGCTCATGAGCCATGCTGTATTTTAGCACACTCCAAGATACTCCACCCCATGCTCAGACACGACACTGCTCCACTGTCTTTTGTTGTTCTTGACTTCATATATAACATACTTATATACTATTTATAGCATTGAGGAACAAAGTAAAGAAATAAAATGGAGTTACTGTGGTCAAGCTGCTAAATTATTAAAGTAGGCTGAGGTATAAGGCATGCCTTAGCCAGTCATTCTTCAATTTTTGAACCTTCCAGTGCTACGAGTATGTCAATACCTGCACGCACATCAGATAGCTCTGCGTCAATGCCCGGACATACACCAAACCTTCAGATGACCATCCAAATGACTTCAAGAAGAAATTGTCCCAATGTCCAGACCACCAGACATCTGAAGATTACCTTTTTGGACCAATCCAGATGCTAAGAATGCAGGACTGATTCTTCTCAGGAATGTATTTTTTACTATAAGAACCCTCAGCTTTTCTTTCTCCTTTGAAACACTACTAGGTTTTTCCTAGCTGTGTTTCCAGTTTGCAAATTCTAAGAACCTTGAATAAATCTTTGTCATTTATTTTCTAACAAAGCCCCTTCGCTCATTTTTTAGTTCGTTTGACAGCATAAATAGGTGGCTTGTCTTTTTCTGTGATTAGAACTGGTTTTGTAGCAGAATTGCTGCTGCATTAGTGTTTCAGGAGCCCCACAGGGTTGAGTGCTTTGTTTTCCTGTTATGGATATTCAGACTCTCAGCTTCTTACTATTAGCATCTTGATACCTAATGTATTAGTATAAACCATTTAATTATTAAGACTTGCTTTTCAAATATTTTCACTTTGCAAGTTCGCTATTTGTCTATTTAATTCTTTTCCAAGAACTTGCTTTTACTTATTTGATCAAGTCTAAATATTTTCAAATTTATTTAGTAGTTCTAATGAGTATTTCATTCTTTCTCTGTTCCTTTGGGTGCATTTCTGGCTCCTCAGCGAAACTGTAATAAAACCCAGCTGAGCTTAGCTTGTTTTGATAGTAAGAACACTTGTTATGACTGCTTTTCAAACTGCAACTATGGCCCCATTTCATCATTTTTCACATACAGAACAGCATGCTCATTATAAATGTCTAGCCTTGGTTTCTTGATCTCTTCCTTGACCCAAATGCTCCCCAGATGCATTTTTTCCCTCCAAAATGTGGGCGCTTAAAAACAATCAAAATTTACCTTTCATTCTCATTGTATATGATCAGAGAATAAAGCCTATAAAATTTTCTCATTTTTGTTCTTACTAATCGCTCCTTTGTAATAGAGGATGTAAACACTATCTGTAATTTCTGCCTTTTCATGCAGATCCAAGGGGCTCCATTCTCACAGAGTAAAATGTGAATGGTGCCTTCCGTGGAATTCACCATAAAATGTTAACTAACCTTATCTTGTTTGTTTTACTTCTTGAGTCCTCTTTATAAATTTTCTCTACTTGATTTGTTATAGATAATAATGTATGGCAAATTGAAACGACGACTTGATAAATTGTTTGATTTTTTTCCCCTTCATATAATTTTGTTGTTATGTTGTTTGGTACATAGAGTCAGTATTATGCTGGCTTTGTTACTGGCTGTATTTTATATGATATGGCAAATCTTACTCATCCACCAAACTAAGTAAGCCCTTGCTCAGCTGCTAGATATCTACTAGAACCAGGCACTTGGCTGAACAAACCTTTGTTTCTACATTCTTTCTTTTGGTATTATTATTGCCAACTACGACCACCTCCCCTGTTTCATACAGTTTTGCATTGTTTCTTGACTTTTCTCATGCTATTTTTGCTCAATTTTTTTTTTTTAAGATTTTATTGGGGAATTGCAGGAGGGGATCAGCACTGGGGAATCGGGGAAGGGGAACAGACAAATTGTTGTCCTTTTGTTCTTCAGTCTAGTTGTGGAGGACGTCACTTCACTGACCCATGTTGGTATTATCATTGCGCTCTTCTCGGGTAAGATAGATGGGTGACCGGCCACTAGAGAGTCGCTCACAGCAGCTCTTGGCAGCTCATGCTGGCTGCCAGCCACTCACGGTAGCTTATGGCAGCCCACTGCAGCTTCACCGCAGCCCAGCTCCAGGTCAAGCTATTATTCACCATCTTAGCTGTAGAGGGCACAGCGTCATTGGCCCTCATGTGGGATCCGAACCCGGGCCCTGCTGCTCAGAGCCGGTCTCCCAAGCCAACTCTTAACCAACGCGTCACTCGGCCAGCCCTATTTTTGCTCAATTTTTTTTTTTTTTTTTTTTTTTTT